CAGAAGAAGTGGTTGACCCACAGATCATACAGAAAAGAGAGTGAAAACTATGTCTATACATTTTATTTCGTCAAGTTCCAGGGTACAAGAAGAACAGAAACGAAGACATGCTAGGACAAAAGGTGAAACCGAGAAAGAAGAGAAGCCAGGATCGACGTAGGATTTATATAAAAACATGTAGAAATGGAAAACAACTTGCAGATTCTACTCCAAGAAACAATGAAGTCAGACATATCCTGAATTAAACGATTGGAACTGTTCTGTTATGCGATGGCTGCTCAACTTCTTCTATCCCGTTATCTTCATTTTCCCCCGACATCTCTTCCAAAGACTTCCCCTTTGATTCAGGTACTAAGAATGTAAACAACATCCCTAAAAAGTTGACTACACCCAACACAATCAGTGAGTTTCTCACCCCAATACCAGGAGGATAGCCCGCCTCCGTCTTGGTCTTGTCCTTGCTCTGAGCCAAGTACAAAAACCCGAATGCACCCACCATTGCACCCAGTTTACCCGAGGCTGCTGATATGCCATGACAAGTAGACCTGAACCTAGCAGGGAAAATCTCTGCAGGTACAACAAATGTTGTGGCATTAGGTCCGAAATTCGCAAAGAAGAAAGTCAATGAGTACATTGCCACAAACCCAATTCTGTTGTCCTTATGAGTCCAGTGATTGTAAGGAATTGCTAACGCAAACATGAACACTGTCATCATGAAGAATCCCATCAATTGAATAGCAAACCTTCCCATCTTATCAATGAAGGCCACTGTAAACCAATAGCCAGGAACAGTGCTGCAAAGAGCAATAAGTGTTTGTGCTCTTGCAATTCTGTAAACTTCCTCCAGGGCGTTCATTGTCTTTGCAGGAGGAATCCACCCGATTGCGCTAAAGATATCCTTCTGAAAAAGATTTTGGCTGTAGAATGCAATGTCAAGCAAGAACCATGTAGTTGTTGTTCCAAGCAAGTGAAGACCATGTCGACGAACAAACTCTCTAGAGAACAAAGCATAAGCATTGCTCCTGTTCTGAGCTATCTGCTCAACCTTCTGCTCTTCTGACTCAATGTCCACCTGCAAAACCTTTGACATATCAGAGGCAGCCTGCTTTGCATTCTTGGCTACAAGGGCCGTGTACCGAGCAGTTTCAGGCATCTTCATTCTCCAGTAGTAGGTGAGTGCAGCTGGGAGTGCACCAACCATCAAAATTATACGCCAAACAAAGTCTGCTTGTGGGACAGTTGAGCCAGTTGGATCAACCTCGTATGCCGGAGCGTCAAAGGCTGCCTTGAATGCAGAAGCAACTATGATTGCAAATATACCACCTCCCAGAATTCCGAATCCTTGCATCGCAAACACAGCAGCTATAAAGGCACCACGAGTCTTCTTGTTAGCATACTCAGACATGATAGTGGCAGAAAGTGGATAGTCACCACCAATTCCAAAACCAAGCCAGAAGCGAAAGAAGCAAAGGGTTGCAATCACAGATTTAGGCTCATGTCCAAACGAAAGACCTGAACCAACCGAGCATATGACCATGAGCATAAGGGTCATCCCATACACTTTCTTCCTCCATAGTTTGTCACCAAGCCAACCAAAAAATAGCTGGCCTGCTAAAGTTCCACAGAAC